AGTTGAGAACTGCTATCCTAGAGGGTCAGGTGGGGTGAAGCTCACAGACACAGGGCCTTTGATGACCCGTGAGAGTGACAGGTCCCTCTGTCTTCTCTGTCCTAAAGGCCCTCTCTGAGGCAGTATGCACATTGAATTGAGATGGACATCCAACAGCTGGCTGGCCCCCTGGGACATGTCACTTCAACAACTTATTTATTTATACCTCATGTCCACAGAGGCCCTAGTTGCCGTCTGCTGGTGTTTATGCCCTCCAGACCAATGTGTCTGGTCTATTTCTGGAGTGTCCCTACAGCCTTGAGGGTAGCTGGAGTGTCTTGCCCATTCCTGTATACCAGGCTCTCTCAGGCATCTGGGAGGCCCAATCCTTCCCAGCATGCACCTGTTTCAGCCATCTGGAAGCTGAGAGCTTCAAGGCTCTCTCTGAGGATGTGGAACCTCTATGAAAAAAAAAAACCATAAGAAAGGAGATGGTTTAGTGTTACCCTTTGAGGCAGTTGTATATTGTGTTTGTCCAGATAACAGTTACAAGTTGGCCAGGTGGTGGTGGCACACATCTTTAATCCCAACACTTAGAAGGCAGAGGCAGGCCAATCTCTGAGGCTAGCCTGAGTGAGTTCCAGGACAGCCAGGGCTACAAAAACAGTTACAAGTTGGCTATGGGGCAGACATGGATAGATATGTCCCCCAAGAAACCAGAGAGGGCTTGGAGATGGCTCAGTGGGTGAAAGGAACTGTGGCTAAGTCTGCCCACCTGAGCTCAACAGCACCTACATGATGGAAGGAGAGAACCTCCTCCTGCAAGTTGTCCTCTGACCTCCATAGGCTCACCACAGCCTGCTCGTGTTTCCAGACACAAATAAATAAAAGGAAGGAGCTTGATGGGGTGTTGGGTGTGTGACTGGTGACTAATCAGAAAATCAATGAGACAAGGAATGTTTGTCACCTGGCCCCAAACAGACGTCTTCTTGAAGATTGGGTTTGTTGGTCGGTTGATTTGGGAATCTATGTATTAAGTGTGTGCATGAGTGTGCCTGTGTGAGGTCTGTGTGCACCACATGGAAGTCAGAGGGAGTTGGATCTGCTGGAGCTGGAGTTACAGGCAGTTGTAAGTCACTGTGTGGATGCTTGGAACTGAACACAAGCCCTCTACAAAAGCAGTAGTTGCTATTAACCACAGAGCTGCCTCTTCAGCTCCTTGAAGATCAGATTTGTGACATGTAATGTACACATAGCAAATGTTGCTCTTTTAGCCAGTTGTGGTGGTGCACATCTGTCATCCCAGCCCTTAGTGGGCAGAGAACTGGGAGTTGCAGGTCAACATTGCTAACATGAGTGATGAATGAGTTGGGGGGCCAGCCTGGGCTGTCTTTAAAAAAAAAAAAAAAGTCACCCTTTTAGTGGAGAGTTCTTTGGGTTTGATAGAGATGTAGGATTTTGCAGCCACCACTACATACCAAAGAGTACACAAGTATGTAATACACTGATGTAACTCAGTGGTAGAGCACCTGCCTAGAGTCCCCCAGTGAGGGGCTGGGGTGTGGCTCAGTGTAGAGCACCTGCCTAGAATCACCCAATGAGGGGCTGAGGGTGTGGCTCAGTGGTAGAGCCCCTGCCTAGAATCCCCCAGTGAGGGGCTGGGGTGTGGCTCAGTGGTAGGGCATCTACTTCCCTGTGAGGGGCTGGGGTGTAGCTCAGTGGTAGAGCCCCTGCCTAGAATCCCCCTGTGAGGGGCTGGGGTGTGGCTCAGTGGTAGAGCACCTGCCTAGAATCCCCCAGTGCGGGGCTGAGGGGAGGCTCAGTGGTAGAGCCCTGCCTAGAATTCCCCAGTGAGGGGCTGGGGTGTGGCTCAGTGGTAGAGCACTTGCCTAGAATTCCCCAGTGAGGGGCTCATCTGTGACTCAGCAGGGATCTTCCCCAGACTAACCAGATACTCCTCTGTCTTTCTGCTCAGGTGCAAGTTTTTCAGTCTGACAGAGACCCCTGAGGACTACACCATCATCGTAGATGAGGAGGGTTTCCTTGGTAAGTGTCTCCCCTCACAAACTGGGCCACCTGCCCACCTCCTTATTTCTTTTTCTATTTTCTTTGTTGCTTTTCTTTTTAAATGGGCGAAAGAAGCTGTTTGGGATGTTTTGTTTTGTTTTGTTGGAGATTTTGGAGTTTGGTGGTGATGGCTTTTTTTTACTTTTTATATTTATTGGTTTATTTTGTGTATATGTGCACATACATGCTAGAGCATGGGTGTGGGGGTCAAAGGGCAACCTATCCTTCCACCACGTGGATCCTCAGGGTTACACTGAGGTCCTCAGGCTTGGTGCCAGCATGTTTACCTGCTGAGCCATCTAGCTGGCCCTTCCTTTGCTTACTTGCTTGCTTGCTTGCTTACTTGTTTTTGAGATAGGGTCTCCCAGTATAGCCCAGGCTAACCCAAACTTACCATCCTCCTCTGTAACCTCCCAAATGCTGGGATTATAGGAATGTGTCATCATACCTAATTTTCTTTCTACTTTTCTTTCTTTTCTTTAATGTTTTTCATACAAAATTCTTTTTTTATTTATTTAGTTAGTGAGAGTACCTAATACATGTATGTGTATCGTGTGCATGCAGAAACCAGTGGAGGTCAGAAGAAGGTGCCAGATCCTCTGAAACTTGACGTACAGGCCAGGGTGAGCTACCGTGGGGGTACTGGGAACCAAAACCAGGTTCTTTTCGAGAGTAACAAGTGCTTTTAACTGCTGAGCCGTCTCCCTATCCTTAATTTTTTTCCATTTTTTAAAATTTAAATATCATTTGTTTATCATAAAATTTATCCTTTTGAGGGCTAAAAAGATGGCTCAGTGGTTAAGAGCACTGGCTGCTCTTCCAGAGGACCTGGGTTTGATTCCCAGCACCCACATGATGGGTCCCAACCATCTGTAACTCCAGTCCCAGAAGATCTGATGCCCTCTTCTAGCATCCATGGGCACCAGGCACATACATGGGGCACAGACAAACGTGCAGGCAAAACACCCATACATATAAACTAATAAGATAATAATATTTTTTCAAAAAATTAACCACCATTTTTTGAAGTAGAAGTGTAGCAAGTTGTTTTATTTGATTTTTTGAGACAGTCTCAAGTGCCTGAGACTGGCCTTGGACTCTATGTAGCTGAAGATGTCCTTGAACTTCTGGTCCTCCTTGCCTCTACTTCTCAAGGGCTGATGTCAAGGTGTGCACCACCACGAGTGGCTTATACCTCACTTCGGGCAAAATCCTAGTTTTCATGTGTGGTAGGCCATCACCCTGCAGTATCCCTTAGTGGTTTTTGGGGTGTTTAATTACTTCCAAATGAAGGTTTATACCTATTACCAGTCCTCCCCCAAACCTGATGCCTACTTCCTTGTTTGTTAGAGCAGTTTATTGACAGGCCAGGCATGGTGGCACATACCTGTAATCTCTTGGGGGGGAAGAGGCAAGCAGGTCTCTGTGAATTCAGGACTAGCCTGGTCTACAGAGTGAGTTTTAGGCTAGCCAAGGCTACACAGCCTTGTTTTATTGTCTCAGAAACAACAAAAATTAATGGCTTGTGTTAGGCTTTACTTAATTATTTAGTCATTTACTTTTGCAGCTGTGGCGATGAGTCTCAGTGCTTTACCATGGTAGGCATGTGCTGTACTGCTGAGCCACACCCCCAAAGCCCAGTGTCCAGCTTTATGCTGATTTCCCAGAGGCTGTCTGCAAATGGAAAGCATTTATTTTGTTCTTGCATGCACCTTATTGATGACAGGGCAGTGGAGAGCCATTGAACTTTCTCACAGGTGTTAGGGTTCTGGGGAAACTAAGTGACACTCAGTCTTCAAAAGTCTGTGGCAAGAGACAGGGTGGGAAGCATGGGTCTGTAACCCCAGTATCTAAGGGACTGAGGTAGGAGGATCAATACTTCAGAAGGAGCCTGAGTTACATTGGAAAACCTTGTGTTCAAGCACTGTCTTAGTCAGGGTTTCTATTGCTGTGAGGAGACACCATGACCATGGCACTCTTATAAAGGAAAACATTTAATTGGGCCGGCTTACAGTTCAGAGGTTTAGTCCATTATCATCATGGTGGGAAACATGGCAGTATGCAGACAGATAGGGTGCTGGAGAGGTGGTTGAGAGTTCTACATCCTGATCTGCAGACAGTTCAAGCA